AATTATTCTGGAGAATAACTTCTCCCACCCAACCAGGTTCCATATGCTGACGTGATTTGTTGCAGAAACAGCTTTGGTAGTTTAGTAAATTGTAGAGCTTAAGAGTAAACTCTTTCTAGAGTGAAATGCATTAACATGGACTATAGTCAAATTCTGGGGTGTCGGGTCTATTGTGTATACAGATGCAGTACATGAGTATTGTTAAATGTAAACTTCAGGCAAAAATATGAATTCACCAATTAATGCGGTTATGTATAGGTTCAAAATTTAATTTAATGTTTTTTTAAATGCAGCTATCGTAAGTACATGAATCTGATTTGGTATTGGGCTTCTAGCACCCCACATCAGACTGGGACAGAGAGGGGCCGTGCTAAGAACCAACTACGTGTCGTTTCCATTGCACATGTTCTGATGAAGAACATGCTGATAAAGTGGGAACATTGGTTACCTTATCAATCCACTTCACTGCCCAATTTCATGCAGTGGGAAGGAAGATGACCAAGCTTTATTGCATTACTGCAAAAGTGAGTTCACCGGTCTGACTGTACAATCTGGCAGGACTATGTGAATATTGGGATTGACTGCTGTATTTAGGCGTTTGCCTGTAGTTCTATTTAAATTATCCAGTTTAATGTATCATCTTGGCAAGTAGTGATGACTTTTATATTGGGTGGTCATTTGATGTCACTACATTGAAATACACTGTATACTTCTTTAGAGGGAACAACCGCACAAAAAGAACATAACATGCAAAAAAAAAAAGACCGCTGGCTAAGAAAGAATCATATCATAAACAAGCTCCCTTTGTAATAAATGCAGCATATTTAATGTATTCAGTTTGCGTGCCCCTTATACATAACAAAGTTGGCCCTATTCCTTGTACAAAGAAATGTTTTGTTTACAAATACTAACTGCATGTTAGAAATAAATGGAATTCTAGTAATGTGACACTCGGTTATATAATTCTAAATACAGTGCAAAATAGTAAAACAGGAAATTACCATTGCAAGCTTTTGGTTTCTTTTAAGGACAAGTGCATATTTTTCGTTCAATAAGTTTTATTAAAGATTTTTTTTAAACATACAGGTAAAACTATAACATATCAAAGAATACAGCCACTGTACAGCACCATTGAAAATGCATAGAAAACCACAAGTCGTGGAACTCAACATGCGTCAGCAGATTGCCAAGCCACGTGGCTTATATACATAGTAAAGTGGGTACAAATTGTGTATACAGCAGTGGGTACTTCTACCTGGGTGACTCGGAAATCCATCCCCCCAGATGGTAGCGTCCAAAAGATACTGTACCTAATGCGGGGCAAGCAAGCCTGTACTAAAGACTACTGTGGGTAGAAAAACTTGTAGAAGAAAATCGACAATAAAACAAAAGCAAGAATATCAGACAGGAAATAAAGATAGCAGAGAAAAGGAAGAAAGGACAAGCAAATAAGACCAGAAAAGAAATGGATAAACCAAAAGAGAAATAGGTGAGAGGAAATATTTCAAATGGAGGAGAGTGGAAGAAGAGTAGAAAAACATAGCATGACCATAAAGAGAAGGTAATAGAAGACATAAAAAGGCCAACATAGAAAGCGACCATAAAAGTTAGAGACAAATGATTTCCCAGGAGGCCACAGACAAGCGGGGGAAGCCCAGGGAAACTAGGAGATAATCACATTCGAGAACGTGATTGAGGACCGGAAATCAAGCCATAAGGACCAAGTGATAGTGTATTTGTCCTCGGCATCATGTTAGTCAGCCATCAATCGTTCCAGGTCCGCAATACGGTCCATTTCCGCAGTCCACTCCGCCAAGGTAGAAATAACAGTGACAAGGATTGACCGCCCTCGCAGCCGTAAGAAAGTGCCACAAGAGGCCTCTTTTCACTGATTTCAGGCAACCAGGTACCATTGTTAACAAAACGATCTTGGGGTCATTAAAAATCACAGAACCTGTCACTCGGCGATAGATATCCAGTACCCTCTGCCAGAACTCCTTAATAGGAGGACAACTCCACCTGATAAGTCATATGTCCCGTTAAGGCATGACAACGCCAACAAGAGTCTGGTACCTGAGGATAGAAATGATAGAGGGACATCTGTACAATCTGGTCAGGATTTTCACATTCTTCTCGTGGGCCTTAGTGGCGAGCATGAGATCAGTACTAATTGGGGTTCCCAGTTAACCTGTATCATACGCCGGTAGGCCTGGAGAGAAGGAAGAGGAGATAATAAAGTAATGAGATGGTACGAGAAGGAGGAGAGGACCGTAAGAGAAGGGAGCCAAAGGCCATAGGCTCCGCTTCCAAAACGTTTGGATGAGGAGACAAATGAGAGAAACTGTCTATCCACCAACCACATACCACCGACGGAAGAATCCAAGGCAGAGTCCCAGGTAGCAACCACCAAGCGTACGTGGGAGTCTCTGGTCCATCGCCCAAAGGAAGAGCAACGCATCGCTGGAGGGAAGGCAGGATTGTTCAAAAGTGGAGTCATAGTTCCAACGTAGGAGGAAATCTCATAATTGGAGACCCAGCAATCCCACAAGTGTAGAGTATGCAGAGCACGAGAGATAGGAGGGATCCAAGGAATGGCCTATAGGTCCGAATCTGCAATCGCCCCTTCAAGTTGAACCCATTGTTTGGCAGCTCAATCCGTGATGCGAATCAAAAGCGAGGCCGCATAATAAAGGTGTATGTCCGGGGCGCCAGCACCACCCCTGTGTTTGGGCAAATACAGAAAATTGCAATTCACACGGGGTGTGACGAGCACCAAAAAAATTTCGAGAAAACCTTTTGTCATTTTTTGAAGAAAACAGAGGGAGGGAGAATTGGCAGTACTTGAAAGACATAAAGGAATCTGGGGATCACATTCATTTTGAGCGCATGAATCCTACCCAACCAGGATACAGACTTATGGTTATAAGTGGTCAGATCCAGGGTAGTTCTCCGAAACCGGGGATCATAGTCGAGGGTGTACAGTAAGGCTAGGTCCGCAGAAAGATGAACCCCTAGATATATCACAGAAGTGGAGCAAATACGAAACGGAAAATTCACCCGAAGTTGGCCTTAAACCCCGTCGTCCAAAGAGACATTCAGGATCTCGGATTTGGAAAAGTTCACTTTGAAATTGCTGAACGAACCAACAAGTGCATATTTTTGATAACATATTATACTGCTTCACATTCATGACTGATTCAGTGCCAAGAACTTTATATTGTGATTTCACTTAAAATGACACTAAACTCAGGAGTTAAATGTTAAATATGCATTCAAGTACCTTAACCATTAACACAAATGTATCTTATTTGTATATCACTCGGTTATAGATCCTCAAATCATCTCTGAATTCCTGCTGACACTGTCCTTCCTTCTGGAGGGGGGCTACTTTTGTTCCCTCTGGTCCTGTGTGTGTTGTAAAGTAGCCACCGCTCCAAGCTCACTCCCGTGGTAGACTACAATCTCATTGGAGAGAGTTCGGAGCGGTTTACTGAGTTAAGCGTCACTCTAAATCTATATAGGACCCATCTTCTGTGAAAATTTGAGAAAGCATGTGTTCACATATAAAAACAGAGCAGAAAATATGCAGAAAGCAGGCTTCAGCCCAGGTCCCTTTTAGCTGAGACCATTTCATGACAACCTATAAAAAGCTTTACACATCCAGAGTGATGCTGATATGCCTTATTTGATATGTTAGTTGCACTTGGTACCCAGATCGATTTTATGTATGGAAGACTGCCTAGAAACGGAAGGAACTTTAGATTGGAGGTACTCATGATGATGGTTTCCAAACAGCAGAAAAGAGAATAGGTTATATTTGCAAGCCACACTATAGGAGATATGTTTTAAAACGCCCTTGTCATTTAAGGTATGTATACCATATGTAACATAGTGACGACATCAATCCATCTTGTGAAAATTTGTTTTGCTTAAAGTGTATGTTCAGTGAAACTTCTTTTTATTTTTCGTTTTGGATAGCATTGGTTGAACCGTTGCCAAATTTTTACTGCTACGTGGGGCTTTGTTAGAGAGATTTCCTCTCACATCCTGTTCTGGTGTTGGTACAATCATTTCTCTTTTTTTGTTAGAGTAGGGGAAGACTAAAAACAGTCACCTTTTTTATTGCTGTTCCTATTGCAGATTTCCCCTCAACTGTTACATGGACAGGGGAAATGAGGGGAAATCTCAATAATGGTGTCCCGGATAACAGTAAAAACAGATGGGTTTGTAATCATTCCTTACTCTGTCCAAAACTAAAACAGTTAGGGCTGGACATTACACTTAAAGGAGAACTATGAGGTGATTGCTTTTCACTCACCTCATAGTTCTAGCCGACCTGTGACAATGAGACTGTCACAGGTCGGCTCAGTAGATCGGGAGGTGAGCGAACACATACCGGGTTCGCTCACCTTTCGATCCTGTCACGGCTCTCTGCAGTGACAGGGGGAGGGGCTGGATTCCCCTCTCCCCGCTCCGATCTGCCAGCGTTGACTGGCAGAACGGACGGGGAGGGGGCGGGTACAGCTGGCTCTGCCTCTAGATAGGCAGAGCCAGCTGTCACTCACGCAGCTGGGCGGATCCCGCCGTCCAGGTAGATCCGCTCCGGCGTCTCAGTATGCCGCGAGCTGTAGCTCGCGGTATACTGAGCTTAGGGTAACGGGAGGGTGCTAGTTTGTGTCCTCCCGTTACCCTAAGGAGAACTATGGGTAAAAACACTGACCCCATAGTTCTCCTTTAAATTACAAGTGGCTCATACAGGCATCTGAGGAAGTGCATGTCTGCTGCATATCAGGGGTAGTTCTGTCAGGTAACAAGGAGATTGTACCAGGCTAAATAGTAATGAACGTTGACAGGAGATAAGGCATTTATAATGCTATAAAAATCCTATTCATTGATCACCCTGTATTTCAAGTTCATTAACCTTTTAGAGGTGATTAACAGCATAACACATTGTGTACTGTTAAGTAGGTTGTTTTATAGTATACCTTTTATTTTTACAGATGAAATCTGTGAGTATTTTGGAGTGAAGATCGGCATGTACTTCTCCTGGCTTGGATTCTACACATCGTCACTGGTCTACCCTGCTATCTTTGGAATGATGCTCTGGTTTTTCACTGAATCTGACCAGGCAAGAAATAACCTACACAAAAATACACAGCTGTAGAGCAGGGGCGCCCACAATTTTTCGTCTGGAGGTCTACTTTTCAAATGACGAGCTCATTGAGATCTACCACCGAAAAAACACCTGCATTCAGGGGCGGGGGGA